TGTATGGGTGTGTGTGTGTGTGTGTGTGTGTGTGTGTGTATAAAATTCTAATTGTATCTGTGCTCCTGTCCCTGTGGAGCACGCTGGTCTCTGAGACACACAACAGGCTCACCTAACCCCGACGGGCTGTTTTTGTAAAGTGCTCTATTGATCGACCTCAACAGGAAGTGTCAGTCAGGGAGACAGCGTGTTAGACAATAATCCCACAAGTATGACCTGACCCGTCATGACACCGCCTTCCACGGCGCCACCACTCGGCTCCATTTTGGCACAAGTTGCTAAGCAACAGGCTGCAGGATTGTCTTTGACTCCAGCATGAGGAAAAGCTCAACGCAAATGACAGTGACAAACATGGAGGGCCACGGAGGTGACAAGGTGTCCCATCGCGGAAAAATACACCTCTTCCTCTGTCTAACCTCGTCACAAACGCCACAGTGCCCCCCCGCCCCTCCATTGTTCCTTCCTGTCTCCAGCAGGAGCCTCGCAGTCACAACATGTGTAAGAGTTTTCGTTGCGGTGTACTTTGGGTTTTGAGCTGACAGATCACAGACAGGATCAATGTTTTAACTTGTTTTTTTTGGCACACGCGTTTGTTTACAGTCTTTTCCATGTTTGTGGTGATGCCTCAAGAGACAGTACAGCACCAAAGAAGCCTTTTTTTTTCTTGTTAACTTAATTAAGTTGTCAGAGAGAACCTTGTTACTCTGGTGGCTGTAGATAGACTTGGATGTTACATTTTAGCTTTGATTCATGTTATAAAATAGAACAGATGGTTGTGTTAATTTAACCAGAAGTAGAACCACCTGATAAAAAATGTTTAATTACTGAGTTAAATGGACAGGTAGTCTTTCACAAAAATGACCATGAGAAAGAAAAACATGCAGATATTGAACTAAGATTTTGTGTGGTGGTAGCTGAGAGTCAATCACAACAAATACTTCTACAGATCATATGAATTCATGTAAGATTTTGTACAACACATATGKTGAGCGTGACATGTTGCAATACTGAGATAAAAATGTTGTTTTCAAGGTTTGACCCAAACTGCTCATTTCTCACTATAAATTTATTTTTTAATCAGTCAGCAGCACTGGTTCTTCAGCACACAGGAGATGTTTTGGTGTCCTCCATCCATCCATCCATCCATCCATCCATCCATCCATCCATCCATCACCGCTTATCAGTATCCGGGTCATGGAGGCAACAGGTCTAGGAGAGAAACCCAAACATCCCTCTCCTCATTGACACTTTACAGCTCGTCCATCCCAGGCCAGAGGGGATTCATAAACCCTCCAGTGAGTCCTGGGTCTTCCTCGGGGCCTCTGACCAGTGGGGCATGCCCAAAACATCTCTAAAGGTTGGAATCCTAATCAGACGGCTAAACCACGCCATCTGACGGTCGATGCAGAGGAGCAGAGGCTCTATTCCGAGCCCCCCCACCCCCCACCCTGGATGACAGAGCTCCTCAAACTAATTCTACAGCTGACTACAGCTGAGCCCGGCCACCCTATGGAGGAAGCTCATTTCAGACACTTGTATCCTGGATGTCATTCCTTTGGTCATGATTCAGGCCATAAAATCAAGAGCTTTGCCTTTTGACTCAGCTCTTTCTTCATCACGACCGACCAAAGCAACGTCCTCATTACTGAGGACAAGGCCTCATTTCATTGATCCATTTCCCACTTCACCCTACCATTACTCTTGAAACAACACACCTAGGGGTTGGATTTATAAAGCTTGCATACACACAAAATGAGCCCAGAAACTTGCGTACGCCACTTTTCACGCCAAGGTTGTGATTTATAAAATCCAAACTTGACTTCACTTCATAATTAGACTTCGATTTTAGATAGACTGTAGCTTTCTTAACAGTATAATTTATGCTTCTGTTGCTGAGCCATAGGGATCTTTGAACTAAAAAACTTAAATCTTAAATAAAAGTTCACACATCTCCATTCATCTCCTTCCTCCACACGGCCCTGACCCACAGACCCCTCCCCATCAAGAGACATTTCAGTGAAGCATGACAACAAAAAGCTCGGTTATAGTCGAGCTTTGGGTGCGCGCCCTCGCCAGCGTGGATGTGTTATAAAAGATTCACTTTTTAATGTCCGTATTTCTCACGTGCATGCGGGATGGGGGTGGGGGTGAGGAGATGGTCAGCCGCAGATAACAGTAGGCAGGAGGGGGACGACGGGGGAGAAGAGTGGTGAACTTAACTCTGACATATATAATTTTATTTATTGTTTTTATCGTCCTGCAGGCTCTGAGAGAAAATTAATTTGAAGCTGAGTTTTTAAAACAAATCATTAGTTTGCTCTAAACGTCTGTAAACCTGCAAAATGAGGGAAAATCTGCATCATTTACAGACATTCTGTTCACGTGAACAGCTTGTCAGTCAGCACCTGTCGTCCTCCAGATGCACGACGGAGCGTGTCTGAGCCAATCGGCTTTTTTGACATTGATCAGCTGACTGATTTAAAAACATCTTAACATTCATGAGGTACTTTGCATTGACTGTTTATGGATGAATGTGGGCGTGTAGAGGGCAGAACCTGAGGCAGGACCTTGTGCGCAAACTCTGAGGTGAAGCTGTGATCTATAAAAGAAAGGTGCGCAGAAACGTGCGTACGCACGGTTTTATAAATCTGAATTTATTTTGGCGTACGCCATTTTTGCCTTTTGGCCGTACGTTCACTTTTAGTATGGTTTCCACGCAATCCTTTATAAATCTGACCCCAGATACTTAAACATTTCCACTTCAGGCAGAGACTCCGCTCCCGGCCCGGAGGAGGCACTGCACCCTTTTCGAGCCGAGAAACATTGGCCTCAGACTTAGAGGAAGTGACTGTCATCCCAGCTGTGAACCACCCTAATGCACGTTGAAGGTCTTGGTCTGAACACACTAACAGAACCACATCATCCGCATAAAGCATAAATGAGACTCTGTGGTTCCGAACCAGACACCCTACTCGTCTCAGCTGAGCCTTTATATCCTGTCCATAAACACTACAAACAGGATCGGAGACAAAGGACAACCCTGGAGGGGACCAATCACATGGAGAACGAGCTCAACTTTGTGCCAAGAATGCAGACTAAGCCTCTTGTTTTGGTGTCTTGACATCTTAATAAAATGGACTTTAACCTAAATTTTGAAATTTTATTTTGACTTGTTTCACAATAATTACCACCACTTTCAGACTTGATCAGACTTTAAGATCACCAGCTAGTGAACATAATGAATGGTTTCTAAGATGACGATTAAAAACAGTGATACATACACAACTTGAAGCTTCTTTTATGTGTGTTTGTTTAGCGTGAGCTTGTTGATTTGATCTGCCGGCTTGGCCTGACCTCAAACAGCCACTCAGTTTGAGCTGGACAAAGACCGAAGCTGAAAATGGGGTCAGGTCTAATCAACATTGCTGTCATGATTATGTCCACTTCACTCCAACCTGTAACCAGGCAACAGGCAGCGCTGCCTCAAGACCGATGTGACAGTCGCAGGTAGACTGAAAGTGTGAGAGGTGGACAGAAAGCCTGGCTGGGTGAGAGGGTGAAGAGAGTGAAGAGCTTCATTTTTTCCCCCAGCCTGACCTTCTGTAGATTGTTTTGTACAATGTGTGTGTCATCACTTAGAGATAAAAACAGGTCAGGATAATGCTTTTTATTCCGTTAAACAATTATGTTTTTAAACCACGGACAGAAGGGAGCACATAAAATTTACAGAGGAAAAACCTGCAGAAAAAAGGTTCTTTTTATTTTGTACTGTATTTACAGTAATGTGCAGAAAAAACCATTAAACCAAAGAGTTAAAAAAGAGATTACTTCCTTTTAACCTCATATTTTCAGCCAGACAAATAAATAAAAGCACATTTAATACACACAATTCAAATTCTGACTAAGTTCAAATTCAGGACAAAAAAGACGGCGCTGCTGCTAAAAACACTGGCGTCGCAACGACAAGTTAAAGTTCACTCATTTGTTTTTGTACTTTTACTCTCCTGTTGGCCCTGATGTTTGGATTAATTTGTCTTTTCAGACTAATTGCACAACAGATACTCATCAGACACTAATCAGGACAACGACAACAAACTGACATTTTCGTAAATCAGTGAAGAAGTTGAAACGTCTCGCAGGATGCCAAATAATTCTGAGATCTTGTCGTTAAGAGTGTAATCTGCGTAGATTAATTGCTTTTATTAAAGTCAAACTTTATCAGGCCCTAACTATGCACAGCTTTATGACATTTTAATAAACAAACTCAGAATTGGTTTTTAACATGTCTCAGCAAACATATTTATAAAGTATTACAAGACAACACCAAAGCAAATCTTTTAATTGTCATTTTTGGTCTTAAAGATGTCATGAAAATAGACTATTGTTAGAAAAAAAGGGCAAAAGGAAAATAAACAGACTCTTACCATGGTCTTCTTCGGACATCATACAGGTCGATCTTGTTGGGTGCCCTCCATGGAGTGGCTGAAGAGACCAAAAAAAAAAGTTACAGCCCATCAGATTAGATCGAAGTAATCCTAATTTCATTCTGTTCGTTGAGTTGTGAGTACAGAAAACTGATAAGAGAATGCAGCTGAGGACCCCGGGGGTCAATTTAGACTTTATCTTGGTGTGAGGCTGAAGACAGGCCGTTGACAAGGTGGCCTGCAGCCTACCTGGGTAGTACCGCGTCACTCCCGTGGCACTGCCGAACACCTGCCAGCGCAGAGAACTGTCCTCCCGCCGGTTTTCAATGAAGACCCTCTCCAGTGCTTGGGTCCAGTTTAATTCGTTTAGGATAACAGGAGCTGCAAGGAAAAATAAAAAAAAGTGCAAAGATGCTTAGGTACATTTTCTTTTGCATTTTGCATACTGTGCAAAATTATTAAGAAACCCCTAATTTCTTGATATTTTGTTTTTAAAGGGGCGATATTATGTGCTTTCCAAGCCTATATTTCAATTTTATACTAAAATAAAGTAACTATGTTATACAGTATTTGTTAAAATTCCTAAAACAATTTACTTCCCATCATGACAGTTTCTAAACGCCTTGAAATAGGTCTCTGTCTCTTTACAAAAATCCAACCACTTCGGTCACGCCCATTTCAGCACGTAGCGGAGCGGGGGGGGGGGGGGGGCGACGACGACTCTGCCATGAGGAGGTTCGGCTTAAAGACACAACCCATGGGCGTTTCTGGTCCCAAAAGCCGTTTCTGGTCCCCACCTGTCGTTTTGCTCCTTAGCATGGCTGCCTAAAAACGCTGCAGGATTTCTCAAACATGCAYGAATGAGTCAAAGCAAGGCTTTGGACATGTTCTTTTATGAAAGTACAACATTATAACATGATATAAAACTCAAAAAAGTTGATTTTACATGTTATTGCCCCTTTAAGTGCTTGTGACAGAAAAAGTGAAAGAAAACATCTTCACATATAAAAAAATGATTCCAGACCTTTTTGCTCTTGAGCTAAAAGTACAAAATAAAAAGCTATTAAAAAAAAGTTTACTTGATAGCAAAATGTAAGCAAGCTAAAAGTTGACTTTCTGCGCTGAACAACCTTGTGGGCTCCGGCAGAAGCAAGTTAAGCACATCAGGATGGATGTATGCAGGCAGCTCGGCCGGCGGTGGCCGTCTGAGCGTGGCATTAGTCTAATCTGTGTGATCTCTGCGGAGCGCGCCGAAGAGATCACCTTGAAAGAGGGTCATACGGTGTGTCACTCGCAGCATGTGGAGGAAGAGGCTGAATTTTTGATAGCAGACTCAAATAACCTTCTTCTGCAAACCTCCCGGAGCAGGTGCGTGTCGGAGGATTTGTGGGCGCTTGGTAAAATAGGCGAAAGCTCTGCTTGTGCATACACAAACACGAGCCTTTAAGGTCATATAAATCTCACATGTCAGAGGGAAGGAGACTTATAGYGGTGTAATGAAGCATTATTTGTCATCTGCTCTGGAATAAATGGAATAATAGGCAGCAGGTGGTGAACAGCACAGCACGAACATGCATCTCTGCTTTTTGTGTCACTCTCTTGTCAAATGTATTTGTGCATTCGTTATTTTTCTTTCACTTCTTGTCTGAAGCATTCTTTTTTTATTCATATGAATTATTTCAATGTGACACATAGGGAAAAAATGCTTTCATTCTGTGTTTAATAGCTATGCTGAAGTCAGAAGATGGGGAGCGCAATCAGAGGTTTAATAGCCACCTGATTAAAGAGGAAACAAAAAAAAGCGCTGAGCTGCAGAGAACTTCACTCGCTCCTCTGATTTAAGTAGTCAACCAACCAAAGCCAGATAAGCCTCTGCACAGACGAGTCCAGCGTTTCTAAACCTGCCCCTCATTTATTCACAATTTAATATAGAAGAGAAAAATTACAATTACACACGAGACCTTAAAATCACAACAATAATTGTTCCATCATGCCAAAGCTATTACAAAATTGCAGCTCAAACCAGCTCAACTAAATTAGTATTACTCCCTTTCACCCAGCAAAAGCTAATGAATGCAAAAAAAGAAGGAAAAAATAACCCCCACAACAAACACACAGCTCAAACAGCAGCAGTATAAACAGTGTCTGGAGGACAGACGTATGTGAGAGCCAAATTGCTGCCATCACCAAGGGGAGCTCCTTYGCATGTTTTTCCTCAAATTTCATAGACATAAACACAAAGGAGGGACGGAGGAGGATTGAGGCAGTCCTACAAGTGAGTGTAAACGTAAAAAATCCATCTGGGGAGAGGGAGGTGATTGATGGAAAGAAACACAGAAATTAACACGAGTGAGTGGCTGCTTCACAGCCAGGGAAAAAGGCAATTTCTTGCTCATGGGGGCAGAAGAAAGAAAAACAGACCCCCCCTCCCCCCAMMCCCCCCCCCACTGCCACACACACAAAACTACACTGTAAAATAAAACAGTTTGCACAATTTAATTTTTTTAGGGTAAAAGGCATATTTTTCTTTTTTTTTAATATTTTATTTCCAAACTGACATCTTCCTTGTTTTACAAGTTGTTAATCACAGTTTAATTTGGGTCAGAAGAAAACCTGCGCCTTAACCACCATTATAAAACACTGCAAAAACCATTTAACAAGTCTTACACTCTTATATCCAGCCAAAAAGTATTTTTGATTTTGTTTTGGGACTGAATGTGTTCGATTATTAATCTTGTTGGGCCTGAAAATTTGTCCTTATTTCAAKAAGTTTTACCAAGAACAATTGTCTTAATGTTCAGGCAGATTGTTGCACTTCATTTGATACAATTCAGACTACAATCTAGTATTTTGAACTTATTTTTAGATGACTAGTCTTTACAGTGAACATTCTTCTTTCAATATTTTCCTAAACCAATCAGCTGCTCTATTGTGTTTCTATTTAATTTCTAAAGTTTGCACTATAAAACTCATTGCATAAGAAAAGAATAAAGCCAAATATCCAGACTCCAAAGAGAACAGGGTTTCAACTATGAAAGAGACGTTCGTGAGGCCTAAAGTGTATGAAATTTTTCAAACTTCTTGTGCTCACGCCTGTGACTCTAAAGCATTTGAGTGAAACCAGTGGCTACGATTTACTGACGCTAGTGTGGAGATTATCAGGGACCCAAATCACACATTTCAATTTCATCTGGGCTGTGCAATACTCTATGAGTAAAGAGCAGATCTGATTATTGTGTAAAAAAAACCTGTATTATCCTTTAAGCATAAGCTATCAGAGTAGGCTGCTGCAGAAGTAGCCAATATGCACTGAAGTCCTAGGTGCTCTTATCTGGAGAGTCTGCTATGATAGCTTTCCCAGGCAGGCCAAGGGCAAAGAGACATCCTGCACCATCTTAGCAATCATAACAGAAAAGTATTGTCAGAACTGTGGCTAAGATGCTTTTTGACTTTTGATACCATAGATCAGGAGATTTTATTACTAAATTTTAGTTCTATAGAGCCCAGCCTAATCATGCTGTGTATTGCACACAGTTAGCTTAGCCTCAGCACACATTTGGTAACGTAGATGGTATCCTCAGGTGAAGACTACAYGAGACCACTAGTTTGAGCTAGAGCTGGGCGGTATGACCCAAATTTTATATCACGGTATTTTCAACAATTACACCGGTTTCACGGTATTTGACTGAATTTTTTTCCTCACAGCTCAGCTGATAATAAAATGTACAAACTTTGTTTATTGACTTTTTTCTTTTACTGTATCTCTGTATCACTGTTTCCCTCCCCTTGTACGTCTTTTCTTTTTTACCTGGTTGTAGACAGTAATCATGCATTTAGGTCAGATCGTGAAAGGTTGAGAAAAATCCTTATYTGGTCTATCATTACGYGTTAATAAAACTTAAAAGAACGACTCATCTTGGACATCAGTCAACTCAGCTACACTACAAAACTACTTCCCCTGGGCTTTTCACAATAGAAGCACGCTAGCGTCTCCATGCAGTAACGTCTCCATTATAACGTAGCGGGTTAAATCTAACTGTGCACGTTACTGAAGAGTTGTTTACACATCCAGCGATGGTGAAAACGGGATTTTTTTTTACTTCAGACCATATTAGTGGCTGAAACACACCACCCTGCTGCAAGTTGTTCCAACAATAACGTTAGCATGCTAATGCGCTTAGCGGTGCTACGAGGAAACGTGTCCCCAGGGAAACAGTTCACTGGCGGCCATGACGAAACGTTCCGCACGTGTTCAGGCAATTTACACCGGTATTCAGAAAAGTCATATCATAACAAAATAAAAACTGGTTTTCGGTACAAAACGGTATACCGCCCAGCACTAGTTTGAGCCCAAACTGAGCCTCACAGGAAAGCCTCTAAGACCTGAATGTTGATGAACCAGGCCAAGCCCTCAGAGCATGACATCAGGACCTTACACTTTAAACCTTCATCACACTTCATTTATGAACTTAAATGTAATCAAATTTATGACGTTTACCTGTTCAGATCTTACAGAGGTTGACATTTTTAATATGTTTAGAAAGAGTGACCTTTAAATAATAAGTATTTCGGCCAAGTGAGGTCAGTTTTTGAAATCCTAGTTGACAGTTTGCTTTTAAAAAAAATAGGCTTGATTGTATTTGAAAAACCGTTTCCACCTCTGCATCCAGGAAAAAAAAGAAAAGAAAAAATGTGCAACGCTCATTTCTCCGCGTCTTCATTCCCACCTTAGTGTTGATGAATTTCGAAACACAGCCCGTGTATATTTACGCTCCCAGCCAAAACTAAAGCAGTCATATGTGAGCTGCCTGCACTGTCAGGGCAGATCTGCCAATAAACACCCACATCCACAAACACACACACAAACAAACACATATCTGCAGGTGATCTGCGCAGGAAAAACCGGCACATCAGAGATAAGAGAACACAGCAAACTAATTCTCTTTGATTTATTCAGTTAGGATATGCGGCGACTTCTCTGGACAGTTGATAAAAAGACAAATTTCCCCTGAGGGGGAGTGATGTGCTCACACATTCTGACAGGGCCTGGGAGCGCTGGCTTGGCCTCATCTTTCACCTGAAATGCGCGTCTCTCTGATATCTTTAAAAGGTAATTCATCAGTGTGCCGCTCCCCTGACGTTTAAAGCACCCTTGGCTTTGCCCCTTTATGGAGCAAGACTGCACACCGAGTAGGGAAACAATTATGAGTCGGATTTATGGAGCGTCGCTGTGTGAAATCATTTCCTCGATCATCCCACCCTCGATCCTGCACCCCTAAACCCAACACTGAATACACGAGCCTACGTTCTTCGCACTGACGTACCTGGGATTATGACCCACTCAACCAACGTGCCCCTCGTGCCCCAAATTAATCCAACAT